ACATTCTTTCTGGGTAACTCCCCCATTTTTCCTGCCGCCTCCAGAATTTTTTGGAAGGAGTAATTGCTTCAGGGGCAGATTCCTGCCGCTTTCCCCATCTTTATGCTTCTATTACTGAGACATCGGGTGTTAAGAGTCATCCTCCTCAAACAACGTTGGGATACGCGCCAGACCTCGACTGGATTGCCAAGGGAGCAATCCTCGAGTCCAGTACGTCCCTGCTATTGCGTGCAGGATGACGCCAGCACAGCTCACACTGCTTTGACGCTCTAACGTTAAGATGCACAACCCAGGAACAAGGCAGAACAGCAGTTACAGCATGGACCAAGGCGTCGTCTCTGCCTGCGGTCCAAGGGCCAGCCAAAGAGCTGGGCTCTGATACCCGTCTTAGGTACCTGCACGCTATGAAGTGCCCAAGTGCAGCATTTGCAGCTGCAGTCCCTGAACCCCACCTGGGGCTGCCCAGCAATGCAGCATTCTCGTAGTTAACAAGTAGGAACTAAATCAAAGGGCGTGACAGAAATTGCTGGTGGCAGAAAGTGGCAGGGTATGACAAATCAAGAGATTTATTGGAGAGGTGGGTCGAGCCACTCGTGATATTGCTGGCAATCAGGCCGGGGTAACCATGTTCAAATCCCAGCACTGAATTTTGTGTCTGACCAAAGATGAAGGAATTTGCTGTCTGGAAGAGGTGGGGAATACAAGAGCATTTCAGGTCAGCGATTTCAGCCGTCGTCCGGGCAGCTCCAGTGCTGGGGTAATGGAACCGGCAGCCTGGGATCAAGGGCAAGGAAGCCAAGCAGCTGTGATTCCTTCCGAGGGAAGGGGGTATTGACAAAGCGATTGGAAAAGGGGCCTCTGGAGGTGACTGCTGTCGGGCGGGAAGGCAAGGAGTCCCTTCAAGGAAGATGTTATGTGTCACCCAGGCGAGTGGACCACCATGGAGAGAGGTATCCAGTACCGGAGGGACTTAGCTGTGCTAGAGGGGATTTATGATGACTTGAACAATGAGCAGTTACCCAAAGATCCAGACAAAGTGAAGTGCACGCGGCCCGTGTGGTGGAACTTTGTACAGAGCGAACCGTCATCGTATGTCAACTCCTTGGCAGTTGAGACCTGGCAAGATGGAGAGGAACAAACAGTGGATGAATTGGCGGGTCAGCTCCGGCAATACAGAGTGTCTCTTCTCCCTACGGGCCTGCGTCTCAGCTGTGGAGAAACTGCCAGACATGCTAGCCGAGAAACTCCGTGATCCCCAGCCAGAAGCTGATCCGTCAACCGGAGAGTCAAGGAGGGATCAGCAAGACTCGCTCATCCTTGACCAGTCCTGTATGGCTGCTGCAAAAGTCTAATGGAGAGTGGAGACTGACAGCAGCCTGTTGTGGGCTGGATGAAGTCATCCTGCTGACTGTGAGTTCTAGCATGCCGGACATGCTAGAACTTCACTATCCAATGGAATCCAAGGCAGTGAAGTGGTACGCCACGCTGATGACTTCTTCTCAATCGCCTCAGCAGCAGAGTGCTTGGAGGGGTGTCCAGGACACCTAGAATCGACTGCCCCACACAGCCCCACCACTTGCCAGGGGCTGATCCAGAGTGTGCTTGGAACAGGGGGAAGCTCCGGAACTCCTACAGTGCCTTGATGACATCATCGTGTGGGGCAACAGAGCAGCAGCAGGTTTTGAGAAAGGGAACAGAATAGTCCAAATCCTTCTGAAAGCCAGCTTTGCCATCAAACAAAGTAAGGTCAAGGGACCTGCACAGGCGATCTAGTCTTTAGGTGTCAAACAGCAAGATGGCCGTTGTCAGATCCCAATGGATGTGATCACCACAACGGCAGCTATGTCTGCAGCGACCAGCAAAAAGGAAACACAAGCCTGCTTAGGCATTGTGGGGTTTTGGAGAATGCACGTTCCCCATTCCCGTCGGGTCGTAAGCCCTTCCTAT